AGATCAGCATGGAAATGAAAGCCTTTAGACCAGGCCCCAGGGACTAAAAAATGCCAAGAGCTCTTTCCAGTTTATTGCCCCTGGGTTGGGGTGGGGAGGGTACTGCCTGGGGATGAGCATTTTGTAGCTGATAGCTGAGGCTTTTGTGGGCGAGAAGCCAACTTCTAGGTCCCGTTGGGTCATCACCTGGGAACTGTAGATGTGCATTTAGGATTCAGAACAAAGAAACTTTCTGACTCCCTTATTCTGTATTTTCGGTTTAGTCCCACAGTGGGTACTCCTGCAGGCAGACAGTCCCTGGGACTCTTCTCCTTCTTAGCTTGCTCTCCTGGTGGTTAACTCTGTGTAGACTTGGCTGAGGGATAGCTAGTGAAACATTGTTTCTAGATGTGTCTGTTAGGGTGTCTTTGGAAGAGATTAGTGTTTGAATCAGTTGAAGTAAAGAAGGCAACCCTCCCCAGTGTAGGGGGGCATTATCCAATCTGTTGAGGGTCCCCCACCCTCCTACCAAAAAGGACAAAAGGCAGAAAAAACAGTCAAATTTACTCTTTTTGATTTGTCCATCTTCTACTGGGCTCAGACACGGATACTCCTGATTCTTGGGCTTTTAGACTTGGACCTAGACTTATGCCATTGACCTGGCTCTCAGGTCTTAAGACTCTAACTGAGTTACATCACCAGTTTGCAGATGGAAGGTCTTGGGACTTCTTGGCCTCCATAATCACATGAAGGTGAAAAAGTGTTAGTCGCTCAGTCATGTCCAACACTTTGTGACCTCATGGACTATAGCTTGCCAGGCTTCTCTCTCTATGGAATTCTCCAGGCAAGAATACTGGAGTGGGAAGCCATTCCTTCCTCAAGGGGATCTTCCCGACCCAGGGATTGAACCCGGGTCTCCTGCAATGCAGGCAGATTCTTTACCATCTGAGTCACTGGGGATCACATGAGCCAATGTCTATTATAATATATACACACATTCTGTTTCTCTGGAGAACCCAGACTAATAGACTTACTCTCATGGATTTGCATTCATCTTCTAACATGCTGAGGCTGGACACCAAGAGACTTTTCTAGCAATAGTCACTGGAGACACTCTTTCCCTCATATCTCTTCCCTGGCTTCTTCCTGCTGAGGTAAGGACTCAACTGCCTCCCAGGCTGGCCCGAGGATCCTGCTGCACCAACCCCAGGGCAGCAGCCCTGTCCTTGCTAGCACAGACACAGTGGGCCAATCTGAGAACTCGCCAACCAAGTCTGAGGACATCCACTCTTTCCCTCTTCCTGGAATGCCCTCCCCACTCTGCTCTCACCACCCCTGCCTCTTCACCTTCAATGACTCACAATACCTACCTCCTACGCACCTGCCATTGTGTCTTCCAAGGTTTTTCTGTATTCAATATGTAGCCCATTGCTTTCTTATTACTATTAACAATAAGAAAGTCTTCAGGGGATTTCCCTAGTGGTTCAGTGGTTAAGAATCCATACTTCTATTGCAGGAGACATGGATTTGATCCCTGGTTAAAGAACTAAGATTTCATACGCTACGTGGTGCAGTCAAAAAAACCAACCGGACAAAAACAAAAGAAAACAACACAAAAATCCCAAGGACTTCAGCTAACATTCATTGAGAGCTGTTGTTACACTTTCTTTCATTTACACATTATCTCATTGAAATCCCACAGCCACACTATAAGACAGGTGCAATAACAATTACTCTCCCCATTTTCCAGATGAGGAAACTAAGACTTGGGGAAATTAAATGTCTTGTCCTAGGACATAGAGCTAAGAAGTGGTAGACCTGGATCTGAACCTAGGTCTCTCGGATCCCAGAGCCATTCTTTGAATGAATGTGAGTTTACCTGTTCTCTTCCATTAGATTCAGTTCGTTAAAGGAGTCTTTTGTTTCTTCCGGATTTTTCCTCCAAACACCCAGTCCTGGGCTCTGCTTGGAGTGGGCAGTTGCCCAATTGATCTCAGTTTGCAGGAGCTCTGCTCTCACCATCACACCCCGCTGGGCATCAGCCTCTGCTTCTATTTAGCTCTGAGAGGGAGATGCAAACAGCAAGGCAGCCAGAAGCTAGAAGCAGGAGGCAGCGGCAAGTGTGAGCAATAACCAATGACTCCCCTGAAGTCAGGCAATGGCTCCGTGGCTTCCTGCTGCTCACCTCGTGGCCACATCACACTGTACATCTCTGGCAGTGCAGCTAATGAGGCAGGGAAAATAAATGACACCAACATCCTGTTCGTGCTTGTGCTTGTTTGGACAGCTGGGCTATCTACGCGGGAAGATCACCTTTTAATATCACTACATTTCAATGGCAACCAGACTCTGCCAGACATCATCTGCCCCCTTGTGGACTGTGCTCCTCTGACACTTGGGGAGAAGAAGAGAGGAAAACAGACGCAGTCTCTAAAATTCCTGGAAAAATACCATTGTCTGAAAATCGTGCAGGGCCTGGGAACTGGTGATGTTCACTGACCAGGGACAACAGAAGCCCTTCTGAGCCTTCTGGGTTCTTCTACTCTGACTGGGGCTCCCAACAGCACCGGGCTCCTCGCACTTTGCAGTAAAACCCACTTAGCAGGTCTCTGCATCTTTCTGACCTCATACCTGTCTCCCCTTTTAGTCTGCAGCCAGCTCTCAGCAGTCTCCTTTCAAAAATAACAAGTCCCCTTCCTGCTCCTTTTCCCATCATTCCGTTCTTTCCGTCTCCACTGCCCCCGCCCTAGGTTGTCCTAATCCCCTGCCAGTTAGAGCAGCCTCCACACCTGCACCTCCTCCCCTCCAGCCCTGCAGCCCTCGCCTCACCCCACTTTGCATAGGAGGTTCACGCTGCCAACAGGGTTCAAGTTCAAAATCCCCAACCTTCCTCTTAGCCGAAATTACTGACTGATGGCCTATTGTACACAAAGTGCTCCTTAGAAATCTGTTCCATCCTCAGGGCTGGAATCACAATGGCTACCAACAGTTTCTGAGGGTTGCCACAGGCACTTTATACACATTCTGTCCTTGAATCTTCAGGACAATTCTGCGAGGTATTATTATCAGAATGGAAAATGAGTCTCAGAGATGTTAGACAAGTCTGTGTCCCTCTAATCTCTATTTGTCTCTTCTGATTTGTGAGGTGTGGGAAGCTTTGGTCTCCACTTGGCTAAATTCATTCATCTCCCTCCCTTCCACCCCTCCTTCTTTCCTCCCTCCCTTCCTCCCTTCCCGCCACACTTACCAAGATTCTACTATACTATGTGCCAAGGACTGTGCTAATCACTGGGGATACAATAGTGAGCAAAAAACTAATCACTGGGGATACAATAGTGAGCAAAAAACTACCCTCTGGCACTTGCAGTTTGCAACCATTCATTCCTTCCTGCCTTGCACCTTTACTCAGGCCATTCCTCTGTCTAGATGATCTTCCTTGTATTTCTTTACCAAAATCCAATCCAATCCTCAAAGCTGATCTCAAGTCTGAGTCTCGTGCCTGCTGGGGAGCCTTGCCTGACCATCCACCCATAGTGATTGCTGGTGTCATTCAACACTTACCATCTGAACAAGTCACTTGGACACATGCAAGACCTTCTTGTATCCTTAACTTCCACATTTATGCATGGATCTTGTAACCCTGACTTTGTTGCAGGGAGGAGGCCAATTCTGACTCCATGTTGGAACTGTTTCTTTGACTTGCTTTTCATTGCTAATCATACAGAATGGTTAGCCTCAGAGAATCCTGCCCCTCCGCCTAACTGTTAAACTAAAGTGCCTTTGTTCAGAACCCCGTGCACCTAGCAGGAAGGAAGAAATTAACACATCCCCTGCCTCAGGCTTGCCATTCTAGGGGATGTTTGCAAAATTAATGGCCTTTTTACTTTGCTTCCTCCCCTACCCTCATCTCTGATCTATCAAAGAACCTGGCATCCAGACCCCAATAAGATGGTTATTTTGAGGCACTACCCTGCCATCTTCTCAGTCTGCCACCTCCCGGATTAAAGTCTCTTCCTTGCCTCAACACCTCATCTCTTGGATTCATTGGCCTGTCATGCGGCGGGTTGAGCTAGCTTGGACTCTGTAACAACTTGACTGTTCATCTCATAATGGGAAACATTTTCACTCCTCAAGAAGCATTTATCCGAGCACCTACTATGTATTTTTAGCCATGCAGAAAGTGATAAACCTTTGTGGAGCATCTTTGAATTAACAAAAAGTTTTCATAAATAATTTATCATTTGATTGTCACAAAACGCTACCACTTCCATTTTATTTTTTGACTTAGAAATGGTAATTTAGATTACTTAATAAATATATTCTCCTCATGAATGTGGAAATACTATAGGTCTGGCTACCATACTTGTTGACCACCCCTATGCCTTTCCATTCCAGATTCTCTTAGAGATACAGATGAAGACACTGAGGCTCAGAGAAGTGACCAAGGTCACACAGTGAGTGTGTGGCGATTTTCTGACTCTAAATCTCTTGTTTCCGTTTTTCCACGCTGCCTCCCATGAGGAAAAGGACCCTGTTTACATGTCTGTGTCCCGGGTGCTGTGCATGGTGCTCTGCACTGAAGCTGGGACTCAACAGATATTTCCATTATCAGTGGGCTTTCCCACACACCGGTTTCCTCTGCACAAGGCACTCACTGCCTCTGGAGGAGGGCTATACCGGTCCCACCCGGTTAGCGAAGGCTCAGGTGTCAAGTGAGGACACGCAGACATCCGGCTAGGCGCCCCTCCGCCACCTCCATGCTCTGACATCGAGGACCCCGACACTCCCCTGGGGTCATTACAGTGGGACTTCATGGAGGTGAGTCAAGTGTTCTCTGGGCACTCGCTCTGTGGCTACCAGCGTGCCAGGGGCCGCGTGTGGTGATGAGGAGGGCTGATATTTCAACCCTTCTGATACTGTTGTGGAGCCAAGACTTCCCAGTACACCAGACACACTTAGCGAGCCAGGCACATATCTGAGCTCTAAATTATGCAAGCGTGGATGATGCTTTGGGGGATCAGGGGAGGAAGAGTATGGCCACAGTGGTGAGAGCAGGATACTTGGAGGAAGTGGGCTGGCCCAAGCTGGGTGGGGAGCAGCCGGCGTGGAGGGCGCCGCAACGCCCCCCCCCACCCCCGCCCCCGAGCCCCGACCCAGGCAGCAGTGCCCGGCAGAGCAGAAACGCAGCGCGCCCTCTGCAGGCAGCTGCGAGGAGGCTACTGAGCCCGGAGAGGCGAATTCGCCATTGGTCGCGGCGGCGGCTGCGCAGCGGGTCTCCCAGCCTGTATCTGTCAGCCAGCCTTGCATTTCCAGCAGCTTTCAGTCGCCATCAGGCCCACGACAGCCTCGTTTTCCCCTCAGGGCGTGCCCACCCCTCCTCTCTCTTAGTTGCCTGCAGTCGCCTCCGTGGCAGGAAGGGACATCTCCCTCTGCTACTCCTTCCACTCCCCATCCGCCGCAGACTATTGTCACCAACACGCCGAGAGCACCCACTACAATGTTTCCCTTGAAAAATCCGGCACCTAAACGGACGAGGCTTGCGGTCTCCAGAGAACCCCGTGGTCATTTCACATCTAAGCACAAATTCTGTGCCCAGTTCAGTTTCAGGAGCCTCGTAAGCACTAACTCATTTAAGCCGCACAACAGTTCTGTTCTTGACCCTAGTTCACCCCTGAGCAAGCTAAGGCACTGAGAACTTAGTACCTTGCCCACCTCCTGGCCTCACACCTGGAAAGAAGCAGAGCCATCCCCTAACCACTACACCAAGGCGTCTCCTGACGCAGCAGACATCAGGTCCTTCCCCACCCAGGCGGATGGTTCCCTTCATACCACTCTCCTTCCTCGGGTCTCCCTGGTCGTTTTCCAGGAACCACATCATCTCCTGGCCCTCACTTACGTGGGGGGTGGAGCTCTGCTTTCAGGGTTTTTAGCTGCAGGTGCTATTTACAAACATATGTGGCTTGCCTCAGTTATCCTCACCTGGAAAATGGTAATCACAGCACCTGCATCAAAAAGCAGCTGAAAGGATTGAATAAGAGAACCCATACACCACTGGAAGAGTGTCTGGCCCACGATAAAAAGCTCAAGAAGTGACAATGGGTGAGCAATAAGAGACAGAATCCCTGGGGGCTTCCCACCCACTTTCAAAACAGGGAGCAAACCCACTTGCCTTCAGAGTAGATCAGAGGGTCACCTTCACTCTAGGGTTCTCTTCGGCTTTCTGTGGCCAGGGCTGTCTTGGAAGCTGGGAACATCAGGCCCAGGCACAGGAGTATGTCTGGTCTAATCAGCCCTAATATATCACGTGGGTGTGCAGTCAGTACAGCTCTGATGGCAGCGTCCTCAGGTGCCCCAGTAACATGCCTATTTCTCTCCCCTTGGAGTGGCCTGAGTCATGTTGTGTGACAGTCAGTGTTCAGCACTGTCACCATCACAACCAGATATCCATCAAGTATTTACTTGATGGAGGGATCCGTGTTTGGGGTTCATGATCGAATAGGCAGCATATATTCCCAGGAAGCTAGGGGCACTTGCTAGGGAGTCATGTCTATTTTTCACATAGATTTGGGGAAGGGGGGTTTCCAAGGCCCTGGCTCTAGCATGGACCACATAACAGCAATACAGGAACACGGTGATTCCCCAATCCCTACTGCATCCAGAGCCTCCCTCTAAGCCCAGGAGCTGGGCAAACAATAGATGCCAGTCAAGAAGGCCCAGTGCAACATATTACTGCAGAGTTGTTCCCAGGGTGCAAGAGGCTGGATCCAGTCAAAATTTACTCCTGCAGATCAATAACCAAGGAGCAAAGTTCACACGTTCATTCATTTCTCCCTCTAATGGACATTTACCACACAAAGTTTTCTGCTCCATGTTAGAAATGTAAAGAGGAACAAGACACAGTCCCTAATGGGGCCAGACAAATACTTAGTCATTATACAATGACACAAACATTAGAGTTCATTCACTTAATTATTTCTTGAATACCTACTATGTGCCAGGCACTATTCCAGGCACTGGGGATACAACCATGAATTGAGCATAAATAGACTACTTTAGCAGTTCAGAGGAAAGGGCAGCAAGCACTGGCTAGTGGAGTCTGGTTAGACTTGTGGAAAAAGGGGTGATCTCAACTGGGTCTTGAAGGACTGTGCCTTGGCAGAGAGGCAGGGAAAGGCAGCTTGTGGGTGGGGCGGGGGGCGGGGCAGCGAGTAACTGGACAAAACTGCTCTCCATTTCAGTAAACAAAGAATGTTGCCTACCATCAAGCCATCAGCCACTGCAGTTGCCACCCTCCCACATTAACATAGTGTGCCCTGGGGGAGGAATTCAGAATGGAGAAAAAGAAGATACCAACCCTAGATGCATATCTGAGGAAAAATTTCAATGAGCCCAGATTCTTGCATCTTCTATACATACAAAAGTGCTACAATCATTAACTTGAGATGTCTGTTTTTTTTGTAATTAGCAGTAATCTTCTGATGTTTGACTATATTTTTTTCCCCAGCAAAAACTCCATTGTATCCTGGCTCCTCCTTTGCCTTTCTGGAACATTTCCTAGGAGCTATCTGAGAGGCCATCTCCTTGAGTATGGTCCTCAAAAAGGTCCCTGAATAAAACAAACCTCACACCTTTTAGATTGTGGTTTTTCTGCAGTAATAGTACATCAAATCTTAGAAATATGAGCAAGAACACCTGGTGAGGGAATGGCAAATGGTTTGGTTTGGGACTTTGGAGCATGCACGGATGTAGCAGAACAAAAGGCACAAGTTACTGTCTCTCCATAGATGGTTTGATCAGCTAAAATAGACCAGCGCCCTGGTGTCAGCATTTTTCTGAGACCTGCACCCCACCCTTGGCAAGAGGTGAGGGGGCACCAAACACCACCTGGTCATGGGGTTGTGTTAGTTGGGTTAAACCTTACCCAATGGTCCAATAACACAATAGCCCCCGCCACAGGCAAGTAACCTTAGTAGGGGGCTCAGCATTCCTTGCTAAGAGCCTTCTTTTAAAAGGAGGATCTGTCCTGAAAAAGTTAAAGAAACCTGAATAAATCAAATGTAGCTTTAGGTTAAAGTAATTATGCTTGAACAATAATTCTTAAATTGGCTGGAATAGTAAATAACTCATTCTAAAAATGAACTGTGTAAACAGTGCTTGGTCACTACAGTTTCTATTTAATATTTGTCAAGTGGTTGCCTGTGGTTGAAACTAGTCAGTTTTCATATTTTAATATATCATGACTCAAAATAAATAGTAGAACAGGCTCACCTTAAAGTTTTCCTTGAAAGTCAAGGACAGCTCAGAGTGCGTTACCTCACCTCTTAAGGCCTCAGTTTCATCAGCTGTAAAATGGAGCTTATAATAATACCTACCTCTCAGGACTATTGAGAGAATCAGGAGAGTTAATCCAGGCAAAGTGAATAGCACAACATTGGCATATAGGAGGTCAAAATAATTAGTTATGATCGTGCTTCTGTAGTTTTAGAGAAATCATACTATTTGGTTGTATTGATTGTTTAATCAGCAGAAGCAGGCTTAACAATCCAATCTGTCTGGCTCTAGAAATTCTGAAAAGAGTCACAGCCCTTGGTAGAAGATTTAAGAAATGATGTTGCAGCTGATACTGTTAAAAAAAAACACACACACAAACACATATGTGTGTGTATAACTGAATCACTTTACTGTACATCTGAAACTAACACAACATGGTAAATTAGCTATATTTCAACAAAAAATTTTTTTAAATGGGGACTTTCTTGGTTATCCAGTGGTCAAGAATCCATCTGCCAATGCAGGGAACACAGGTTTGATCCATGGTTGGGGAAGATCCCACATGCTGTGGGGCAACAAAGCCTGTGTGCCCCAACTACTGAAACCAGTGCACCCTAGAACCTGTGCTCCACAATGAGAAAAGCCACCATAATGAGAAGCCTGAGCACTGCAACCAGAGAGTAGCCCCTGCTTGCCACTACTAGAGAAAGTCCATGCACAGCAACAGAGATCCAGCCAAAAACAAATAAATAAATGAAAATGATATTGTAACCCAAACAAGAAAAGTTGATCTCCAATTTTCCTGATAGACAGACTGAGGCACTAATCCATGATGAGCTCTGATGTGACCTAAGAGAGACAGGGAAGCATGGTGCTGAAGTGGGATTACAATTTCAGTGGCCAAACTCCCAGCTTTCTATCCTAACTGGCAAGCAGCACGCTTTTACCCAGAAGTCCAAGCCCCCGGCCTCTGACTTTCACTTCTAGGGTCAGCCCACTACAAGGCTCAGATTTCATAATAAAGGGACTCTTGACTCCTGAACTGAATTGAAAAAGTGAAAGGAGATCTTTTGCTTCCAAAGGTCTCAGTGTTGCCTCTCCCCAGCAGCTTCTTTCCCTAGGGAGTCACATCATAGACTTGGGTAATCAGGCAAGGACCTCGTGGATTCCTTGAAATACTGTAAGAACAAAGGGAACGCTGGTGATCACATAGCACTCCTGGGCCAGCAGGGCAGTGGGGGTCTGGGTGTGAAGCAGGATGGATTTTTTTTGGCCTCTGCTCCCTTGAATAACCAGAATTGCAAAATAAGTGCTCTAACTTAAGAGTTCAGGATTACCAACATAACCACATGTTCCTATTCAGTGCATTCGAAGTGTTTTTTTCTTTACAACCTTTTCTTTCTTTGTGTGTGTGTGTGAGAGAGAGAGAGAGATTCACTTTCTATGGGACATGTGGCATTTTCTCGACTGTTTTAGAAATCCGTAGGTCAGGGATAAGTCCATTACATCAGTCTCCCATGTATGAAACAAAACTCATTTAAGGCATTCCAATAAAACAGTAACAGCCGTTGTTATTGTTTAGTTGCTAAATCGTGTCCGACTGTTTGTGACCCATGGACTGTAGCCCACCAGGCTCCTCTGTCCATGGGATTTCTCAGGGAAGAATACTGGAGTGAGTTGCCATTTCTTTCTCCAGGGGATCTACCCAGAGATCAAACCCATGTCTTCTGCATTGGCAGGCAGATTCTTTACCACTGAGCTACGAGGGAAGCCCAGTAACAGTCATAATAACAGCAAAATTGTGTAAAGCAGGTGTCCACATTGTTATAAGCACTTGACACATATTAACCCTGTTAATCTTCATGAGGTAGGTACTGTTGTTATCTGTGTATGACAGATGAGGAAACTGAGGCAGAAAGCAGTTAGGTAAAAATTGGATAGCTGTCAAATGAGAAAATTTGGTCTTTGAAAATGAGACCTCAGCAGAAACTAACAACATGGTAAAGCAACAATGTGTGTTGTGTGTGTGTTAGTTTCTTAGTTGTGTCTGACTCTTTGTAACCCCATGGAGTGTAGCTCTCTAGGCTCCTCTGTCCATGGAATTCTCTAGGCAAGAATGCTGGGGTGGGTTGCCATTTCTTTCTCCAGGGTATCTTCCCCATCCAGGGATGGAACCTGGGTCTCCTGCATTGCAGGCAGATTCTTTATCATCTGAGTCACCGGGGAAGCCCTCAAAGCAACTATACTTGAGTTAA